CTGGTCTCACAGCTCCTCTGTAGGGGAGGAGGAAGGGGGGGAGGAAGAAGAAGAAAAAAAAAAAAAGTAATGTCAGGTTGAGTTTGTGTGCTATATATAGCACGTGGACTAAAGCACTGATTCTGCGGGGATGTTTTTGGCTCAAGTCTAGAATGGTTAAGGAGAAAAAACACTATTAATTTGAAGAATAGTGTTAGCTGAAATGTTGTCCCCTGGCAGCCCTTATATGTCCTGTCCTTGCTGTAACAACACAACACCTGTAATGGTTGCTTTGGCCTCCCAGCACTGAAATCCTCAACTGCACCTCACTGAAAAGGTCAGCCTTGTGGCTACAGAAGGTCAGTCTATTTTTATTGCCTAGAACTACACATATAAAAAAATACTTCTCGGTTTACACCTGCTGTGTTAAACTGTCTTTATTTTTTTAAAAGGTAGTACCTTAGTTGTCTGCAAAACAGAATTTGGATATAACTACTCTGTCACCACATGCATATACTTATAATTGTGTCACTTGCTGTGATATGTTCACTCAATTAAGGCAGTCCAAAGGTAGTGAGGTGTATAGAAACACTTCTCCCCACTTCAAACTGTAGTTGTTATCTATTGATATTTACTGATATTGATCTATCTTACCAGTGTGTATAACTTTAAGGCAGAATGCCCAGAGGATGGGGCCAAGCTGTCTTGTGGCCAGCAGCACAACCAAGAGGCAACACCCACAGACTGAAGCACAGGAAGTTCCACCTGAATTTGAGGAAAACTTCATGATTGTGAGGGTAAGAGGGCATAGGAACAGGTTGCATAGAGAGGTTGTGGAATCTCCTTCTCTGGAGATATTCAAAGGTTCATTCCAACCTTAATCCTTCTGAGATTTTGTGAAACTGGATTATTTTAAGTGGATATCTCTTTGGGATCCAGAGGGATTCTCCTTGCTTTCATTATCCTTCCTAGTCTCCTTAGTCAGTTTTCTACCTGGCATGCTTTTGTGCACAGGGCAGACTTGCAGGTGCCAGAAGCACCACTCTATTAGTATGTTAAGTGCTTTCCCTGAATTGGAGATGTGCTAGAAGAGAACATAAAACATAGACATGGAAAATGCATGAAATGCCAAGAGGTAGAAGAGTGGTAGGAACAAAATAGATATGCATAATTGACATGCAGCTGGACTGTCTCTTTGCTATGGTCCTCAACAGGCTTCACTGTCCAGAAGTGACTTTGCAATTTCCTTGCCAACAAACGTTGCACAATTGCCTCTTCCTCCAGGCCTGCTATTGTGTACTGCGAAGAGGGCAGGATTTAGAAATCTCACAGACTACACTTGGAGTTCTTAGAAAAGAGAACAAATAATGCCCCTGTAAATAGGACCTTTTTTTAAGTAGCTACTTTGAAGTGCAAGCTGAATACATTGTCAAAAGCAAGGAAAACTGGAAGGGTTATTACTCAAGGCAGTTTCACTGCTGCCACTGAAGTTTCCTAATGTGGACATTTAATTTTCATCTCATTACCCTTCAATTAATTTTGAAAAACTCACTCCTACAAAGCAGACTGAATACATACATAGCAAACTTAATGAGGAAAGCAGAAGAGCCTGCCTCAGCCCCCACCACAAACATCAGCTGGTAGGCAGGCAAATTGCTTACAGCATTCAGGCCTGTGTTAATTGAGCAGAGGTAAACTGAGGCTGCTTTCTGCTTATAGGAACCACTACAGCAAATAGAGCAGTGCCCATGTGCTGCTGTTTAGCATTACAGGTACTGTGTAGACCGCAGCCTGCAGCAGACTTGCACAACACTTAACTACACTGGCACCTAAATGGTGCACTTCACAGTGCCAGTTCACTATTAGCTTGCGTTTTCTTTTCTGTGTGATATTATACACCACAACAGGAAAGGATCAATAGTTGCTTCAAAATAAGAGTGGATACCATATCAATGCCATCAGCAGGAATAGTTTCCCGGCTTTTTCAAGCATATAAATACCAGCATTCTTCAGTCTCCTGATATATGCCTTCCTAGCATTCCCCCTCACCCACGTTTTTGTTCTGCTGTGCAATATTACAAAATGCTTTTTCTTGCAAAGAGAACCAGGGAACTATTTATTCCATCAATGACCTCAGCACAGTTTGGGAAGCCTGTGCACTGGATGCGTGATCACACTTGAGTACTAAAGTGACAGTGCTTTTTTATTTATAAATAACAGAATAATAATTTTATCTTCCTAAATAGCAATATCTCAATATCAATAATAAAAGCCAAAATAGAACTTAGCTAACTTAAAAGCAGATTTTTTTGGCCTGCATGCTGGAAGTAAGCAACTTCATAACATTTAAGGTGATAGCACAGTTTTTGTTAATTCCCCATACCCATCAGCAGTAATTTTATGAAGTTACTACTAAAAAAACAGGAAGGTTCAGAGGTGTTGAGTCTTCTACCTTTTTCTTCTAACGGGTAGATCTCATTTAGAAGTGCAAACCTGGTTTTGAAAGAAAGCTCCTTCTATTTATTTTCAACCATATCTTTGCATTTTGATTAGACTATAACTGTTTCAGCGAGTTGGAATTTATTAGAATTCTTAGACTATCTTAATTATGCAGTGCCTGAAAATTTATGTTATTAGAAAAAAAATACTATTATAATCTAGTATTACATTGTATACCATCAGGAGTTTACATTTGGATCTTGGACGTTAGAATCTAGTATTGAGAGGCAATATTGGCCCGAACATAGAAGCAATCATCTCTAGCCTATCTTTTCTTAAATTGCTTTTAAATACCAAAACAGATTGAAATAGCCTGATAGGTACGGTAAAGTGGGTTGAAACAAAAAACATCTAAATAGATAAGAGATGAAATCCAATGGGAAAGCTAGGACACTTGCATTTGCAGTTTGTTCTCTGGACATGTAAATGCCCTTTACTCCAGTTACTTGGCAGTAGCTGTTTGACCTTTCGAATATGAACCTGGTGTCATTAAGAATTTTTGGATTGAAGAGATGTTTTTGTTTTGTTTTAAATCTCAGCCGTGCCACTCCTTATAGCTTCAAACAAACCATGTTTTCTGTGTTAAGTTCCTTGCAAAGTTAGACTGACATTAGTAATTTTTAAGAAAATTTTAAAACTCAGTGTGTTTATAAATAAGGGTGTCCAACTAAAATTTTGTTGTTTGTATAGCTTTTCATGACTTTGCTTTAGCTATCAGGTTTTCATAAATATGCTATTAATGCTCTTCAGAGAATGTGATGATTTGGCAAACAATTTAGACTAAATGCATGAATGGATTCTTGCACAATTTAACTTGGTTGATAAGTGTAAACTTGATTTACTGGACAAATTTTCAATTTTCAAGTAGAACATATTATACCAGCTGACTGAATACTGCCAGTTAATACTACTCAGATACGTTGAGAATTGAGATTTCAGAATATCTATGCTTATAAGAACTGCAATACTGTTTTGTTAAGTTTCTCTTTGGTATTTCTTCCTCAAAAGTAAATATTTAAAGAATGCTTATTCCACACGCCAGTTTCTTTAAGATGCTCCTTCCTTATTCTGTATCAAAAATAGAGTACTGGGGATATTTTCCTTTTTCGTTAATGACATAACTTCTACATCTTACCCAGTCAGGTCTTTAAGCACAAATGACAAGAAGATTGGGCTTGTGGCTGTTGTGTACATTGATCATGTGATTAAAAAAAAAAAGGCACCTAGGTAATAGATTCACATAACGTAAGGTTATGTGGGAGCTATCAGGGAGGTCAGTGGGCTGGCTTTGTAGTCTTCCAGAGCACGCGGAACTGGAGCCATGGGCATTTGATCAGGCTACTGGAGAGTATGTTACATTGCAGAAGGACAGATTTATGGCTTTAGCAAGTATTAGTTTTAAAAAGTAGTTCTCATCTCTTTCTCATCTCCATACCTTAGAATAAATTTCTTTTAGCCAGATCATTTTCAGTTCCAATCCTCCTTAGAATCAGTGTTTCTGTTTTATCACAGTGCACAAGGTAAATAAGAGCAGCAGACTGGAAGATGTTAAAGAGCAGCTTGCTCTAGAAAGCTAAAATTCAGACTGACGAATCTAAATTTTCTTTTCTGGCAAGCGGTGCAACCAACTCAAAGTTTTCAGTAGAACCATTAGCATTGCCCCTTCTTAATGGGGTATCTTAATGTTATAGTCATACCTTTTGGCTAGCTATGGATGCAACTCAGCATTACTGCTCAGAAGTAACTTGTGCGTAGCCAGGCAGTGGCTCCTATGCAAACTTGCAGGAGCTGGGAATTGCTGTGGCTCAGCTGTTTGGAGTATCTTATCTCTGTGTAAGGCAGTGGCTCTCTGTAGGTTTCTGTGTAGTCATTACAAGAGGAAAGCTTTATTCTGCTTAGTGGCTAATGCCATCATGTGGTTAACTAGGGTTATTGACTAAAGGAAGTGAAATTGGTTCATTTTCCTTTTATGTATAACAAATACTGTTTGTATAAAAACATTTTCCAGTGTGAATTTTTGTACATAAAAACATGTAGTATGTTTTGCTACATAAAACAACAGAA